TGCCTGGGCGGGGGTGGGGGGGGTGTTCAGTCGGTTGAGCACCCGACTCTTGGTTTCGGCTCAGGCCATGATCTCACAGTTCATGGGTTCAAGTCCCACGTTAGGCTATGCACTGGCAGCGCGGAGCCTACTTGGGATTTTCCCTCTCTCTCTCTCTCTCTCTTGCTCTTTCTCTGCCCCTCCCACACTCTCTCTTTCCCTCTTGCTCTCTCTCAAATAAACTTAAAAAAATTTTTTTTAACCTTTTAAAAAGAAAATTCAAATATTCCAAATGCAGAAACACCAGTATAGATTCCGTTCTCTCACAGTGAAATAAAGAGGAGCCAGGCCCATGCCTGGGCTCAGCGCGCTGCAAGTTCATGCTGAAAAGAAGCTGGAGAAAAGGCTGTGAATCCAGGAAGAGGCTCTGAAAAGTGAATTGCTATCACTCGACTTCGCCCGCATCTTCTCTGCTGTCCTACCTCCCATCCGCCTGCCCCGCCCTCTGGTAGCCATAAGGCCAGGCACCCAGAAGTCCAGAGCAACATGCCTGGGGCAGTAAGATGTTCCATCGCCCTCTAAGGCACACCGAAAGGCCTCTGACTGCCGAGGTCCCAGTGGAAACGGAACGAATAGGGGGCGTCTTCCTAACCTGGGGAGGGAAGGGAAAACAAAGCCAAGGAGATGTTAACTAAAACGTGAATGTGATCTTTATTATACAGCACATGTGGTATCTGTACATCCCAACAAGTATACAGGATACTCTATAAAACCAAACCTGACCACTCAAAGTTACACTGGACGAAGATTTAACCCAAAGTCACGTCTTGTAAAAACACAACGCGGTCCTGTGTGCCATGTTCCGGATCGAGGCAGCACAAGAAGGGAGAGGAGAAGGACTGGGTTTGGGCCAACGTAACATCCTCTGGTTATTGCACTTTCATTCTACACACTCAGTACGTTATGCTTTTATTAACACTGTAATAGACATTAGTCCTTTTGAAACAAATAAAAATATTACATAAAGGTAAAAGACAACAAGCCATCCAGACCAATTTTCTTTTCAACCCTCCGAGTCAGGTGGCCTCCCCCAACTCCAGGTATTCACATGGTCTCTACGCTCCTCTCAACTGGACTGGATGTTAACAAAGCAGATGTAGTTAAACATAAAACCCTTTTAAGAACAGTAGTGCTACTTGCAACCCCCAAAGGAGAGTGCGATACAAGTTTCTGAAGGTTACCCCCCCTCCCCCCCTTATCCACTTTGCCGCAGCACTGGCCCTAACCACTCCCCCCGGAGTTAGAAGGAGCAATCCACTTTTTTGTTGTTGTTTTAAAGAAAAAGTGGGTTACTTGATCCAGCAAATCCAAAAATCAAGCTTTGAAAACTCAAAGAAGCAACTAGTCTTTTGGCAAAGGACTCGTCAAGGGCCATTTATCCCGCTCTGAAGCAGTATGGACTCTGGCTGGAGTCTCCCTGGTTAGCCAGATGGGAGACCAGGCGTGCCTTCTCTCCAGAGCAAGGCCAGAGGGAATCTCTACTCCCCATGGGCTACTGTCATCACCGATCCCTCCTGGCTTCTCAGTGCTAAATAATAAGCCAATAACAATAATAATAATAATAATAAAGTGTCATGCAGTGCAGTTATCACTTTGGAGCCCTGCCACGCCAACCTCTTCTCTCATCAGGGAAAGACTTCTGGCCCCTCTTTGGCAGCTCAGGTAAAGATGCATCCAGATGCTGACAGGGACTGGTGGAGAGTTCTACCGTTCCCGTTTCCATCTGTCGTAGTTAATAATAGCCTTTCCTTCAACGTTTCCCTGAACTTTAGTGTTAAAAAATCAGGAGAAGCTGCTGTCTGGGCTCTGTTCCCTTGAAACTGATGGAGTCACAAGGGATTCTCTTTGGTCCGGAAAGAACCAACACTGCCCTCTTTCCCAGAGAAGTGGAAGGCTCGCTCAACCCGCGAGCCGCGTGCCTGTGGAAACCTCACCCAGGCGAGCATTCCTCAAGTCATGCCAGACTGCCCTCGCTGCCAGCTCCCTGGGCACAGTGTCAGCCACTCCGGGGCTCCGGGCTTCATCTGTTTTTCTGATTGCTCTGCAAGAAGGTCCCTCACTCGGTTCTGAAGTCACGTAAGGGACCGGACTTCAAGCACATTAAAAATGGCCAGGTGATCATTTTCGGGCTGGGGTGAACCGCCCTGATGAAGTGATTAGAAGGACAGAACACAGTGAGGGTCATTCTTCCATCCCGTCCTTCCTCCTCCCCAGCCACAATCTCACCTCACCGCTCGGGAGCACATACAACCAAATCTAGGAGGGAAAACCTTTAGGACTTTGGTCTTGTCGAGCCCTCTATAGCCCAAGTGCCCCCCAGACTTCTTTGAATACCTAGTGTCTTCCCAAGTAATATACAGTACAGTACATTTCATGGCATCCCATCACCGTAGTAACAACGGGTGCCAAGGAACAAAGGATCCGAAATTAGCGGACAATGTTATAAAACAAAAGCAAAGTATGCTGCGTGTTATATATATGCACTCCTGCACTCAGCCTGCTGAGTGTTTAAATAACACCTCCAAATATCTATATGTGGACTTTGGCTGGCCTGGAGATTTTCAGGAATATTTTGCACCTTTCCTCAGAATATTTTTTTTTTTTTTTAAATGAATTGTTAACACAACTACCGTCTTACTTAGCACTGGTCCCTCCCATCCTCCTTCCTCCTCACTCAGGCAAAAAATCTGCTAGGAAACTGGTGTCTGAGAGCTGACAAGGGACACTGGGTGGAGGACAAGCGACCCTCCCTCCCCGTGAATGGGGGTGGGAACTAAGACTTCGGAAGAATGTTAGGAATGGGACTTCAGCACGGAAGCAGATTCCTGATCCCAGCTAGAGTAAAGGAAGACCGGCTGCAAAAGGGAAGCACAGAAATCCTTTATGAAATCTCATACAGAACAGACACTGAGACTGTTTTTCCGGCAGGTAGACACTACTCACCTCTCCTTTTTAAACTTGAAATCTGGCTTCCTGGAAGCCCCATCATTGTTTCCAGAAGGACAAACGGGTTAACGTGACAAGAACAGAGTGATGATTTGAAGAAGTAAAGCTACACATAGGTGTTAAGAGACCTACCGAACATCCTACCAACACAAGGCTGGCGCTCACAGAACCCAAAGATACTGGGTGTCTCACTTTATCGTTTGCAAGTAGAAAAGTTTTCAGCACTATGTGGAGTTTTTGAAGGGCTCCAAGTGCTTAGAGAGTTACTGTGCTCAAACGTATCATAATCCGAGCTCGGGATAGCCAAAGAGTTAAAACTGAACTTTAGATTCCATTTCTACTCCGTTAATGTTTAAGAGATGGTCATTCTCTCGGAAACAACCCTACAAAATTCCAGCAGCAAGTCCGCCCATTTTCTTACACATCTACTCAGGGACCTGCTTCACAGAGCTGGAGGTCAGGCACAAGGGACAGACCACAGTGCTTGGGGACTAGGCAGATGCGACAGAGGCTCCTCACCTCCACTGCCTCTTCCTTCACCTGCCTGGTTTTCTAAATCTAGAGGACCATTTTGGTGGAGAGAGGCTCGAAGTCAAGATCTGAGAGGCACCGATATTTAAACTGTTCCCCTTCAGAATTTCTTACTGTGTACATCTCCTGACAAATGCTCACACTGTGTGTGTCCCAACTGCAAGGGAGGGGAACCGCCCCAGAGGCTAACACACAGGGCGAGGAGCACACACAGAGCTACAAAGAGCATTCTTCTTTTTCATCTGGTGCTTGTCTTCTTGCCTTGTATTCAAAACAAGGTAAAAAGAAGGGACGAATTGCGAAAGAGATCTCGGTGAAAAATCTCACTGACCCAAGTTTAAAAACATCAGTGTGTTAGGTTCAAACACAAAAACGAGAGTTTTTGATTCTTTTAAGTTTTAGAAACAATGTGGTATCTTTCTAGTAGGTTTGCGTGGAAGCTCACGGCCTCCAGATCACTGCCCCTTCTCAGGTCTCACCAGATACTCCACATGGGTCAATGTTACTCAGACACTCATCCCCAGGTACCATGTTAACTGGACCTTCCCCATATTGAAACCCAAAGGGTGGGGGGTAAACGTCAAGAATGAAGGGAAGAAAAAGAGATTGGGTCCTGGGGTTGCCAGTAACTCAAAATCCAATCGCATATGTATATATACACATATGCACACACACACATTTTTTTGCCTTTATGCGGCCTCTTGGTGATGTAACCCATGAAAGCTCCCCCAGAAGTCAGGGATATTCGGTCCCATCAATGTAAACACGCTGGCACCATAAGGAGCAGATAGCTCCGTTTCTAGCTCCCTCACCGGGGCCTCAGGCTGCTGCGACCTGAGGTCTCCGGCTGCAGGTAGTGGGAAGTTATTTTTTTGTTCCGATGTTCTTACAATCCCAGAACTAAGTTCATATTTTCCAGGGGTCCTGACGACTGGATAGAACCAGACTATTCCTAGCTAGAGCCGAAATTACAAAAATTCTAATTTTTAGTACTATCACCACCGCAGTGCCCCACTTGTCTTAGCAACATACAGTGAGCAGACGATGGTGACGTTTGCCTCCTTTTCAGTTCTGGGGCTGGAACGTTGCATTCTTCAGTGTTTACGTGTCCCACACGATCTTGTGCGGACGGGATAGTGTGGGGCATCGGCGAGCCGCTGAACGCACCCCGACGACCAGCGAGCTCCTCGCTACCTGGCAGGCGCCTCTGCCTGGGAAGGTCTCAAGTTGCCCAGCGGGCATCAGTTCCCTCGGGAGCTCTCTGAATAAACGTCCAATTCTTCCCACGGCCAACAGGTGAGGGGAAGGAAAGAAACAGAGTAAAAGAGAAAGGTCTTTGCTTTCAAGTAGAGTCATCCAGTCCCCGGTTCGGCTGCTCCGAAGCGGACGCGCACAGCCGGTCCATGATGCCCCGGAGCATGGGCTGCACGATGCCCAGGAGGGGCCTCTGGGAAGGGTCGCCGTCCCAGCAGGCCTCCATCAGCTGCCAGCACTCCTCGTCGAACACAGGCAGACGCTCCGGCCGGGCCCCTGGAGACAGGCGCGTGGAAAGAAGACCAGAGTCAGCGACGGGGCCGGTGCCACCACGAGGCCTGACCGGCTCGCAGACCGATGGCCCACGTGGGGCTCAGGAGTTCTGGCTTCGACTGCAGACACCTAGGTTAGAACCTGACAGTAACGGTGACAGAACACTGGAACGCACTGGCATAGGAAGTAGAAGAATTGGAAATTTTAAAGAAAAAAAGCCTTGACACGGTTCAGCGCAATGCTACCTGAAAGCAAAGGGGCGACCTCGGTGTCTTCCCCGGATTCCCTGACGGTACGTGGCCCTGCGGTGCGACGGCCGGAGCGGGTGACAGGAGGCCCGGCTGCAGGGCCCGGTCTCAGTCTCCCCTTGATGGGGGCCGGGGCGGGGTCAGGACAGGGTAGGGCTTGTGGCTCTTACCTCTTCGCACATTGTTCCAGAGATGGTCTTTGCTGGCACACCTCTCAAATGCTTCGGGGAGCTTGACGGAGCCCGAGCAGATATACCAGAAGAGGATGCCAAAGGCGTAGACATCGACGGAGTTGTCGTATTTCCCTACAGCAAGAAAGGGCGACGGCAGTGAGCCGGGACGAGAGATCAGCTGTGCCCCTATAACTGGGTCTGCAGAGGTCATCACGCCTTTTTGTCTAAAGCTTTTAACAGCCATGATCTCCCACAGCAACCCCAGTAGGCAGGACCGCTGACAACGCCCATCTTCTACCCAAAACCACAACAGCATAGGAAGGGTGATGCGAGACACCAGGATGGCCAAGACCAGAGCCTGACAGAGGAGAAGGAGGACAGGCCTCTGATTTTGATTGAACAGCCAAGAAGACCCATCCTGACGGGTCGGATTGGGGAAATAAGCTTGGGAAACACAGGTGGGTGAGCAGATTGGAACCAGAATGTAAAAATTTTTAAATTTTTTAAAAATAATTAACTTATTTTTGAGGGGGGGTGGTGGGGAGGGGCAGAGAGAGAGACAGAGTCCCAAGCAGGCATGCAGGAGCCTGATGCGGGGGCTCAAACTCACGAACTGTGAGATCATAACCTGAGCTGAAATCAAGAGAGTCAGGACGCTTAACCAACTGAGCCGCCCAGGCGCCCTTAGAATGTAAAGATTTTTTTAGTTTATTTTTTTCTTTCTGAGAGAGAGAGAGAGAGAAGGGAGAGGAGCAGAGAAAGAGAAAGAGAGAGAGAGAGAGAGAGAGAGAATCCCAAGCAGGCTCTGCACTGTCAGCACAGAGCCCAATGTAGGGCTCGAACTCATGAGATCATGACCTAAGCCTAAATCAAGAATTGGACACGTAACCGACTAAGCCACCCAGGCACCTGAGAATATAAAGATTTTTAAAAGACAGAAAAGTCTGGATTCAATGGGCAGCATGAGGTCCTTTAGGTTTTAGGGCAGGAGGTGACATGAAGAACCTATTTTAGAAAGATTCTTCTGACAGCAACTGGATGGACTGCAGAGAATCAAGGGAAGTGAAATACCAAGCAGCCAAAAGAAAACAACCGTGGGGCAGGGGGGGAGAGAAATGTTCCAAGAAGTGAATTTCGAGAAAGAAAACGACTGTATGCTGAGTCCACCGTGGGTCCCGCTCACCCCCGCCCTCACGCGCATCACTCAGGGAAGGGCCGGGGCCGGACCTGTGTGTGAGGCCATCAAGAGCAGGCCACGTACACGGCTCATTTTAACTCTTCCCCACGCTGATGAAGGGCCTGCCGGGACTGTCCCCTCTTCCCTGGCATGGACACGACCCCTTCCCCCGCCAACCCCTCAGGCTCAAACTCTCGAGTCCTCGTCTGGTCATCCTTTGCTGTTCACCATCGACACCTAGTTAACCACAAAATCCCACCCGTTCCTCCCGTGAACTGATCCTGAATCCGGCACGGCTTTTTTGTGTCAGTGCTGCTACCAGCCTGATCCTGGAGACCCAAACCCCTGGTCTGCCTGCCTTGGTTCTCGCCCCGCAAAGCCCCTCCACCTTCCGCTGCTAAGCTGACCTTCCGTGAACGTGTCCTCATCCCCCGCCTGCACAGTTCTTTTTTTCAAATTTTTAGAATTATTTTTGAGAGAGACAGAGAGAGAGAGAGCAAGTGGGGAGGGGAAGAGAGAAGAGGGACAGAGGATCCAAAGCAGGCTTGTGCTGACAGCAGAGAGTCCTATGTGGGGCTTGAACTTGCAAATCATGAGGTCATGACCTGAGCCTAGGTCAGACGCCTAACACACTGAGCCACGTGGGCGCCCCAAAAGCTCAAGTTCCAATATTTCTTCCACAACGAGACTTTCTTCCTCGGTGTGGATTTCAAGCTCGGTGTGTTTCATCTCCAACCTTGTTTGCTTTTACTCCCCACAGGGATTTGTGCCCTGTCAGGCAATTTTCCTCATACTTCCCTTTCCCCAGCCTCCAGAATGTTCTCTCCTTCCAGACACCTGGTTAGATTCTAGAGCCAGAAAGACCTAGATTCCAATCCCAGCTCCATCATTTCTAGCTCAGCATTGTGGGGTGGCTTTCTGATGTTCACCAGTCTGGACTTAACTTTACCCGTGACATGGGCACAAAAATGCATCAGCGGCAGCACAGACTTGCTGTGAGGATTAAATGGAACAAAATATATGAAAAACCGTACTCGCACTGCCTAGCTCCAAGAACATGCTTAATAGCAATGCCCTGCCCACATACCAATTTTTCCCGACTTGACTCAAGTCCTACCCCAAATCTCAACCATAAAACTGTCAAACATTTCAACCTTCACTTACCACCTGTCTGAACACCAGCATCACATCATGTAGCACCCGATTTAGCACCTGGTCACACAGTCTGATGCTGCTTCCTAATTATTTAACCTCTCTTAATAGATCTCTGTCATCAGCGAGTTCATTGATGATCAGGGCCAACTCCTGATGTACAGAAGTTCTTCAATCAGGACTTTATGATCAACTAACTGGTTGATTATGGCAACCACAGCACGAATAGCCCAGAGAAACGTCCAAAAGCAGACTCGGTGACTCCTAGTTACACTTCTCCTTCTCACCCCTTCACCTCCTCACCTTCCCCCTACCTGTCTTTAGGTTTCCCCTCCCCTGGCTCTCCCTTGCCCGCCCCAGACCGGCCGGTAGTACTTGTGGATACTACTTAAGCAAGAGGTAGAACTCATTAAAGCATGGAGCCCTGCTGAGGCCCACTCCCGCCCTGCAGCTTACCTGTGAAAAGTTCAGGGGCCATATGGATTGGTGTCCCCACAATGCTGCCTGACATCATGGCCTCTGGCTTGCAGAACCCTAAGTCAGTGATCTTGGCACGGTTCTGCTTGTCCAGCTGCCAACAAAGCAGGGCAAGAGTCAGCCTGCGTCTGACCCTGCACGTAACGCTCAGGGGCACACTCAAGCTCAGGGGCACACTCAAGCTCTGAAGCGGGTGTCTACTTCCCAGTAGCGCTTCCTCAACCCTGCTTCCCGCCTCCCTGTCTCCAGACTCGTTCCCATTCCCATCTTCCCCCCAGACTGTAAGCAACCTAAGGGCAGGGGCTGCCTTTTTCGTCTTTGTATACCTAGCGCTTAGCACACTGCCTGGCACATAGCAGGAACTTAGTAAGTCTAGGAAGAATGAATAAGTGAAGGACACGGAGGAAAGGATTTGGGTTCCTGATTATTCTTCTCTGACCTCCAGACCCCAGGGCAGAAAGTTGCTAAGTAAGAAGGCTGAGGTCCTCTGGTGAGCTGAGGAGAGTTTCCTGAATTCCCTGCAGTTTCCTTTCCTAAAGGCCCAAGAGAATAAGTCTACGTCTCATTTGACTACAGATAAGCCTCTTAGGTTTCGGCCTATGATTTTAGGATGATCTTTCCCTTCCCCCCAAACTGCTGTCATCTCTCTGTATGTACCTGTTGCCAGAAACACCTCAATGATAATGCAACACAGTGTCAAGAGAATATGTCAGAGGAGTCTCTACAATTGAGATAACGGAACATGACCACCTTACCTTTAAGGTGCATTTACCCATCTCAGCCCTCATCCAGCACCTGTGATCAAACCCTAAGCAATAACAAGACCTGGAAGCCTCGAACACGTCGTCACAAAAGCACAAAAGAGCAGAAAGACTATTCCAGATTAAAGGAGGATAAAAAACATGACAATAAAGTACGCTGTACAACCCTTGGAGCGAACCCTGGATCAAACACACAAACAAATGACCGTATTCGGGTAACTAAACATATTTGGGACAACTGGGAAATGTTAATATAGACTGCATGTTAACTAACAGCATTATACCAATGTTAAATTTCTTTGGTGTGATAATGGCATTTTAATTACACAGAAGAGTGTCCTTTTTAGGAGATACAAGCTCAAGTACTTAGGAATGTGTTATCTGCAACTTACTTTCATATACTTGAACAAAGAGTGTGCGTACGTGTGTGCGAGACTGAGGAACAGAGAGAGACTAACCCAGGAGAAAGAGAATATGAATCCGGGTGAACCGTATGTGGTCGTTGTACCACTCTTTTCTCTTCTGTAAGTGTGAAGTTTTTCAACAGTGTTCGGAGGAAAAGCCTTAAGCAACGTACGCTCAGTCTATGATGCGGCTTCACGCTCCCCAAGCATTATGTCTGAGATCCCATCAATCCACTGTTCTTCCGGCAGCCTCTTCCTATGATCAAACTCACATTCATGCGGACCCTCCCAAGGTCACTTAACCCACGGAGGCGGGGCGTTATCTCGGGGAAACAGCTCTACTCACCAGGACATTTTTTAGCTTGATATCACGGTGGACAAGTCCCTGGCTGTGCAGGAAGCGGATTCCTTCCACCACATCTAGTGCTATCTGTAGACGTGTCTCCAGCGTCAGCCCAGCCTTGGGGAGACAAAAGGGCTCACGTGTCACTAACAAGACAACTCCTCAGTCCAACCTGCTTAAACCAACTAAGAGTTCCTTCTGCGGGGCACTGAGAGTCGGCCTGCACTAGGGCACACAGGACAAGTGCAGAGAGTAGATGGGAAGAAGGGAAGAGGAAAGAAGTTAGGAGGAGGAGGCTGAGGGGTTGCCCCAAACAGGACTACAAGAGGCACAGTCCAACAACTGAACGCATGAGTTCATTTCCATCCCCTACCCCCAACAAACTCTGGAACTGCGCTTGAGACCCAGAGTACTTCCGGGTCTCAGGGTGCGTGGCTGGCTAGGTCAGCGGAGCATGTGACTGCTGGTCTCGGGGTCGTGAGTTTGAGCCCCACGTTCGGCAGAGAGATGACTTAAATATTTTTTTAAGTAAGAAAATAAAAACATATTTTTTACGAAAAAGGTATTTCTAGGTTTCTCAGGCAGAATGACCTCTGCTGCATTGTAAGCCTCATTGGCCCACGTTTGGCTTTACAGATTCAAATATCAAACTCACACATCTTACTTGTACCGGGCCTCCAACTTAGGGTCTCCTGAATTCCAGAGGACATTACATCACTCATCCAGAAGCTGAGATTCAGTTTTCTAGCCCTCTTGTGGGAAAGCATCAGACAGTGCTGAGCTTAACTCCTCTGAAATGAAGAGGGAGAGCCACCGGGAGAGTCATTTTCTCGACCCTATTGAGTTTCCACGGCTCCTGCAATGATTTCTAGCGATTCCTGTCTTATATCTGGAAGCGTCCGCATAAACTGGCATGAGAGGCATCTGTGAGAAGGGACCCACCCACATGCACTGGGGTTAGCTTCCCCCAGCCCCACTGAGCCCCGGTGTAGGGACCAGAGAAACGGGCATCTCTACTTCCCTTGCTGCTTTGGGCGAGGGAAACTGAGCATCCGACTGACCGTATCTCCTCTTCACTCAAAATCTTTCAACAGCTTTTCAGGGTCTAGACTGCGATTTGAATTCTATGGAAATTCTTTTTAAAAAAAAAAATTTTTTTTTAATGTTTATTTATTTTTGAGACAGAGGGAGACAGAGCATGAGTGGGGGAGGGGCACAGACAGACGGAGACACAGAATCTGAAACAGGCTCCGGGCTCTGAGCTGTCAGCACAGAGCCCGACGCGGGGCTCAAACCCACGAACCGTGAGATCGTGACCTGAGCTGAAGTCGGCCGCTCAACCGACTGAGCCACCCAGGCGCTCCTGTGTGGAAATTCTTAATTCTGGTGTTCTACAATTTGTTCTCAACATGTCTTTGCACATCACGCTCCCCTAGTCCCAGACAGCTGCTCCAACACGACCAGTGTCCTTCAGGTGGAGGGCATTACGCTCCTCCTTCCCCCTAGCGTGGCCTCTTCCTTCTACCAAATTTTACCCATCAAGGTATATTTACCAAACTCAAATCCTCATGACATACTCACTGACTACAAGTCTCTTAGAAGCTTCTGACAATTAGACTTTTTTTTTGTTTTAAGTGAGCTCTCCACCTGAAGTGGGGCTTAACTCCTAACCCCGAGATCAAGAGTCACACGCACCACTGGCCGAGCCAGCCGGGGGCCCCTGGCAATCACACTTCCTGATATCCCCTTCTGGTGCTTAATACAGGCTCTTGGACAAAAAGGAGTCACTGATAAATACTGGCTGGTTAAACGACAAAAATTGGCTCATCCCTCGAGAGCGACAAAAGGAGGAAAAACAGCAAAGTTATAGGACGCTTTTCTGCTCCTCCGCGTAGTCTAGGTTTGTACCACCATCACCAGAGGTGACGGTGGTGAACTGGCAGCGTTCTGGGCCGAAAATCAGACTCTGAGAAGTCTGTGAGGTTTTTCTGGATTGGGGTAATCAAGCTTGATTATTCCAACAACGTCTCGTGAAAGCTAGAAGGTCCGGACAGACAAGGAGGGATGACAGGCCGGGGAGGACCCCGTGGCTCCGGTTGCGCGGTCACCCCCTCGCCCCGCCTCACCTTCAGCCCAGTGTAGAGGTCCCGGTGCAGCCTCTCCATGATGAGCAGCACGGCGATGCTGGAGCCGCCGCCATAGCCGTAGTCGATGACTGAGCCGTGGAGGTCCACCAAGCGCTCGTGCTTCGGCAGAGACCTGGTGGGAACGAGAGAGGCCGCGGCTGCCGTGCTCCGGTCTCACCCTGCACAGCGTGCCGCCACGTGGGAAGGGATACCCCAGAGACCACCCTCAGTCCAGGTCCAGGGGGAGCGGCCCTCGGTACAGAGGAAAGGGAAAGACAATGGCCTCCAGTGAGGACAAAGCGTCACAGAATCTAGAGACGGACAGGCCGCAAGGACTAAGGAAGAAGTCCAACGGGAGACGGAGTCTGTGAGAAATCAGGATGGCGGGGAGAGGGCAAGCAAAGCCACTGAAGGCCTGGCAGAGAGCACGTGACTGGAACAAACCCAGAAATACTGTCCACGACACCCTGGGGCACAGGAATGGAGAGACCGGGGACGCTGCAGCTCTTGGTACAAAAGTCGTGTCGGCTTCTGGCTTCTTCTCTGGATCTTTTCCCACAGGGATGAACGACAGGAGAACCCACCTCATGTAGTGAAACTCCAAAGCCAGGTCATTCCAGTGCTTCTCATCCGGAGGGACGACCGACTTGAGGGCACACGGGAAGTGTCCTCCCCAGTTGTCACACAGGTACACCACGCCGTACTGGCCCCGGCCCAGTTCCTGACCCAGTTTAGGTTTACCTATGAAATATGGAGACAGGGATGAGGCAGGAGGAATGGGAGCCTGCTGGCCAACCTCCCTAAGATTCTTTTTTTTTTTTTTTAAGTTTTTTTAACATTTATTTTTGAGACAGAGAGAGACAGAGCATGAACGGGGGAGGGTCAGAGAGAGGGAGACACAGAATCCGAAACAGGCTCCAGGCTCTGAGCTGTCAGCACAGAGCCCGACGTGGGGCTCAAACTCACAGACCATGAGATCATGACCTGAGCCGAAGTCGGCCGCTTACCCGACTGAGCCACCCAGGCACCCCATCCTCCCTAAGATTCTTGGATGTGTGCGGTCCCTGGCCGGCTCGGTCAGTGGAGCGTGTGACTCTTGCTCTTGGGGTTGTGGGTTCGAGCCCCACGTTGAGTGTAGAGATTACTTAAAAATAAAACCTTAAAGACTGCCTATGAAGAAAATATATATCTTGTTTAAGAAAAAAGGAGAAAAAAAAAGGATTCTTAGACACAGACCTAAAAGTAGGAAGTTGTAATTCTGACAGTACTGGAAACTAGTAGAAAGTACCCTAACTGGTCTGATTTATCTATTTTATTTATTTATTTATTTTTGAAAGGGGGGGAGGGGCACAGAGAGAGGGAGACACGGGATCTGAAGCAGGCTCCAGGCTCTGAGCTGTCAGCACAGAGTCTAACGCGAGGCTTGAACCAATGAACCACAAGATCATGACCTGAGCTGAAGCTGGACACTTAACTGACTGAGCCACCTAGGTGCCCCCTAACTGGTTTGATTTAAATAAACCTGTCATGTCACTTGAACTATACAAATAGCGGGACCGGGGCGCCTGGGTGGCTCAGTCGGTTAAGTGTCCAACTTCGGCTCAGGTCACAATCTTGCGGTCCGTGAATTCGAGCCCCACGTCGGGCTCTGTGCTGACCGCTCAGAGCTTGGAGCCTGTTTCGGATTCTGTGTCTCCCTCTCTCTCTGACCCTCCCCCGTTCATGCTCTGTCTCTCTCTGTCTCAAAAATAAATAAACGTTAAAAAAAAAAAAAATTAAAAAAAAAAAGAAATGGATTCTGTAACAAATAGTGGGACCAAACAGACTTTAGGGTTTCAAAAACACATCAGTGGGTGCTTAGGTAGCTTTGCAAGGAAGCAGCGCTAGAGGTAGAACATGCGAACGCCAGGTATCCAGAAACTTCTCCCAATTTACTTGGGAAAGACAGGGACTCACGATGTAGCAAGACATCCTGTAAAGAGCGGCTTTCCAGAGAAAGGCGAGCCAGGCGGGGGGCATGATCCTTGCGAACCTTCAACCAGAGATCTTCTGTTTTCTCCAACCGACCTGAGTGGCCAGCTTCTAGCTGGAAGAGAAACAGAAAGAAGACACGTGACTTTCCAAGTCCCTAGTTTGGCTTCCTCACCTATTATATGGGGACAATAATATCTACCTGCTGAGGACAACTGAGAGAGTTACACAAGCTGTGCAGAACACAGCTCCGACACTGGCATACAGTGAGCTCTCGATAAATAACCACTTTGCCTCCTGGATGCGCCATCTCCACACCCTCCCCTCTATACACACGTACACACATGTGCACGCGTGCATGCGCACACACACACACGCACACTCTGAGGGGACAAGCACGTCACATAACTGTGAACCAGTGTGAAAGTTACAAAGTCGTCCTCCTCTGTGACTCATTTCTAAAATACTAAATAAATAAAATTCCTACCCCTTGATTTTCATTCCTCACTCAATGAAATGGGGAGAAATTAACTGAGTTCCCTTCCTGTTCCCAAGAGTTAGAAAAATCTCCACATGAGAAATGTACTGATGAAACTTCCTAAAACATGATATTATCCTTTAACATACAGGAAGAAGATACACTGATGATCTTAGAAAAATTACACGCAGAGCAGTGGGCAAAATATTGCTCGAAAGGTAAGGCTCTTCTCTCTCTTCCGACATACGCACCTGCCGCAAGGAGGCTGCAAAAGCCTCATGAGAACTGTTGAGTCGGGTCCGGAACTGGCTGCAAATGCTCTTGGCCAATTTAGAGGCACTGAGGCTCTCGATGGCTTCCTGGGCCACCTTCCTCTTCCATTCCAGTGTGATGGCGGGTGGGCTCACCCATGTGATACGCTGGATGATCTGCGGGAAGAAGAGACGAAGAACATGCAAGGGTGGGGACAGGAGCCACCAGAAAGAGCCAACGCCCTTCCCCTCTGGGCTACCCACTCGTTAGGAGCAGGCTAGTAAGAAAGCAGCCATGTGAAGGCCAAGATTCCTCTCCCATTCCACCTACCTCATAATCAGGGCTCAGACCAAAGGAAAGCATCAAAGAACACTAGGCCTAGTCTATGGGCTCACAAACCCTCACTACATACAGTCAGCGCTGGGGGCGCCCGGAATTCCCTTTCTGAACTCAGTATGGAATAAGAGCCACATCAAATTCCAGAAAAGAAACCACACAAATGGCCTCTGGCAGGAAAGCCTGATTCTGAGAAAACATTTCGGCTGGGGAGAAAGGAATCTGAAGAAGCTAGTGAAGGAGAGTCTTAGGGCTGCATAAAATATTTAAACGCACCATTCTCAAGCGTTAAAGTGGCTCCGTTCCTAATTATCTCAGAGCTGGCATAAACCAGAACTGTCCTGGGCAGGCAAATCGGGACAAACGGCCACCTACCTACACCAACAGAAGATCCTAGACATCAGCTGCTATTGGGGTGACTAAGGTTCTGAGCCAACCAGGGCCAGAGAATGTTTCTCTAAGCAAGCCCCACCTGTTTGATTTGCTCCCACAGCATCCTTGTAACCGAGGACCCTGAGTGAAACGTAACTTCGACGTGATAGGCGGCATTTAAGATCTGGAAGAGAACACACAAACCAAAGTCAATACGCCCTGAGCAGAGGGGCTGATTAAAAAATGTGATAAATAGTATTTACTTAAGGCAGGGTCCAGTTTCAAGGTTCCCAAATATACCCATCGATACGAGTGCAGAGTCGACGCAGGTGCATCATCGGTTCTGCGGCTCTCTGGGCCTCTTTCCTTCCCTCTTCACCTTCTAGCTCATCACCCGAACTGCGACTGTGCAGCTCACAAGCCCCTCTGACAGGCAGTGCTCATGTGACGGAAAAGTTCAATATAATTCAAAGGGGATGGGCAGAGGGGTGAAAGGGTAACCCCGGGCTAACTTGAGGCTGGGTTTCTGTGTGGTGTCTGCTTTGTATGTCACCTGTGACACGGTATCTTGGCCATTCTGCAAGTACCTGTTTGAGATAATTACTGGTGATGTGAACTGAGACATCCTGGGACTTCTCCAGGCTCTGCAGGCACCGTTCCAGGGTGCCGACAAAGCTCTCGCGCAGGTAATCCACTGAGCTGATCAGCTTGTTCGCCACCGCCTGATTAAGCCGGGAGATGATGAGCTCCTGTATCTGTCGGATGCAGCATTTGATTTCTCTGGTGCCCACTGGCTCTCCGTTCTCAGGGACAATGACATCTATGGAGGCAGAGAAAGAAGCCAGTGGGCTGTGAGAGGAAGGGGCAGGCACTGAGAATAAGGGTCTCCCCCAACCAAAGCCGAGGAGCTACCAGCACGATGGCTGTAAAAGACACAGCTGGCTGACGAGCTCTGACCTTCAGTATGATCCGGGGCCATGCGATCCTCTACTACTTAGGCATCTAAGAATACTGAGAAAAAGCAACTGTGTCTAGAACGAGCCCATTGATTTTTGTCAGCTTTCATGTCACCTTTATAGGAGGAGGATCATTTATTGAGTGCAGACCATTTGACAGGCACCATACTAAGTATTTTATATATGCAATCGAATTTAATCCTCACAATAACCTTGTCAGGTGGGTATTTTTTTTAATGTTTTATTTTTGAGAGGGCGTGAGAGGGGGAGGGACAGAGAGAGAGGGAGACAGATGATCAGAAGCGGGCCCTGCGCTGACAGCAGCGAGCCCGATGTGGGGCTAGAACTCAACAAACCGTGAGATCGTGACCTGAGCCGAAGTCGGGCACTCAGCTGCCTGAGCCTGCCAGGCGACCCTGTCAGGTGAGTATTATTGGTCACATTTTACGGGTTGGGAGACAGTCTCAAAGAAAGGACAAAGGCGGCACCCGGAAGGGTACGGTACGGTTAGGAAGTAATACGGCTAGCATTTGAACCCAAAGCTCAGGGACTGCAAAGCCTTTGTAACCTTTCACACTGCCTAGTTCCTGGAAAAACCCGAGAGTCGGGGATTCAGCACTAATCAATTACTAGATAAATAAAAAGTAAAACTGGAACACTGTCACCATCCAGCTACCTCCCAGAATCAGAAATCTGTTTTGCCAGCCAGAGGACAGAACTTAAGAGAAGACAAGTTACCTGCAAAAACTCCACTCCTAAAAAGGCACTCTCATGTCTACTGTGAGAATTTAAATCGGTGCTACCTCTTTGGAGGAGATCCCATAACATCTAACAAAAAAAATTGTTTTTAATCTATCAGAATTTTAAACTAACCAACAAATCAACAATATCACCTACATTCCCTCTGACCTAACTATTCTATGTATGTAGGTATTACCTTTAAAAAAAAAAAGGCTTTTCTTTAATACAATTTTCAAATGTTTATTTATATTTGAGAGAGACAGGGAGAGACGGACAGAGAGAGAGAGAGAGAGAGAGAGAACGAGTGGGAGAGGGGCAGAGAGACAGAGACAGAATCTGAAGCAGGCTCCAGGCTCCGAGCTGACAGCACACAGCTCGACGTGGGGATCAAACCCACGAACCGTGAGATCATGACCTGCGCCGAAGTCAGACGCTTACCTGACTGAGCCACCCAGGCACCCCAAAAGTCTTTTCTGAAGTGTGTATGCCATATAGCCAGCATACCTGCATTACCTTTATTTAACCAAAACAAAACAAAACAAAATGAAACAAAACAAAAAAACGGTACCAGAAATCTGGTTCCCCAGGCCAGCTGGTAAATCTTCTGGCCTCTTGTAAATTTACTTATTGCATCAAGGGTCTCCGGGAAGAACTTAGAACAGGGTTAAGTAGTAGCCATGCAAGTCTCGTCTAACACACAGCCGAGTACGGAAGTGGCTTCACAAATCCATCATGCAGTTAACAGAGCTAGACGTCTGATCTACACGCTCCCAGCTCCCCCTGCGTCTGTTGAACTAACCACTGCTTCCCAGGCACCAAACTGGGTGTACTTGGCACCTAATATACAGTCAAATGTTTCACGGTCTGCCCACCTTTACCAAGGGCTCTGTGCCACTGGCACTGATGTGCCAGCTTTGTTTCAGTGAGTCAGAAGCCTTCCTAGCATCTCCACTGCAAGTCCTCCCTACGGGGGGAATTCACCAAAGACGTATCTTTGCTCATCTTTAGAAAGACCTGTAAGTGCTCGCTTCGGCAGCACATATACTAGAAAGACCTGGAAGAAATAAGGCACCTGTGTTTGCTAGAGTCAACTCTATGTCCTTTGTATAAGCGTGACACAGCCGTATACCATCATTCGCACGCTCATTCGGGCTCTGAAGAGGTACCATCCACAGACTCTGTGTTATCTGCTGTAAGAGATATGAAAATGTTATCTAGAAGAGGCCTTGAAGGCTAGGTAGGATTTGGAAATTCACAAATAAAAGACATTTTGGGTTTAGGGCAGAGCAGGAGCAAAGAAAAAGTAAAGGAAGCATGTGGAGGACAGCAAGCAGTTGAGACCAACTGAAATAGAAATTACAGGAAGGTGCACATTGGGAAAGAGGAAGAGGAAAGTTGGTCAGACCTTGGAAGATCTTTAACATTAGGCTCATAAGTCTAAACTTAGTCTGTAGGAACAGGGAGCCGCAAAAGATGAACTGGAGAAAGGAGAGAAAGATGTCCGGGGGAGCAACAGGTAACAGTAGTTCAGGCAGACTAAAGAAGAGGCAGCAGAAAAGCAAAGGTAGACATGAAACAGGGACGAAGACTCGTCAGGACCCGGCGGCAGACCGGATGCAGGACGAAGGAAAGCAAAGAGCCGGAGACCAGGCTGAGCCTTGGGAGCGGGTTATGAGGACGACGGTGGCGGCAGCAGCCAGAAACAGATTAAGAAGCAGGAAAGCATGGAAATTAACTCAGAAATAAGACTGTTAGATTCAAATTCTGCCCTTACTCTTCAGTAGCTATGTGACCTGGAGCAAATTACTTAACCTGCCTGAGCCTCAGTTCCCTCATCAAGAAGATGGCAATGTACAGAATCCGCAGGGAGACTGGAAAAAAAAAAAGAAAAGAAAAGAAAAAGAAAAGAAAGGAAAAGAAAAAAAAAACTGATGCTAGCTCTCACATAAGAAATTCTGATTGGGGTGCCTGGATGGCTCAGGCAGTTAAGTGTCCGACTCTTGTCTCGACTCAGGTCATGATCCTGCACTTCATAGGTTCGAGCCTTGAGTCAGTCTCTGTGCTGACAGCACAGAGCCTCCCTGGATCCTCTCTCCCTCTCTCTCTCTGACCCTTCCCCTTTCACGTACGCTTGCTCTCTCAAAAATAAAGAAAGAAAGAAAAAGAAAAGAAAAGGAATTCTGATTAATAGGTCTGCAGTGCTCTGCGGTGGTATCGAACATTTATATTTTCAAAGAGCCTCCCAGCAGATTTGGATGTACAGCTGGGACTGAGAACCCAAAGGGTAACTTGCAAACTACTTCCCTTTAATGAACAGGTGGTAGGGCTCACGTTCCTGCAGGGAGGTCCACAGACCAGTCAGTATACAAGGTCAGCCACACCTAAACATCAGCCCCAAAAGACCTGACCAATCACCGTGGCCCAATTTTCTTAACAGCCATCCATGAAGAATGGGGCTTCCAGAAAAGCTGAAAACAGGACTTTGGGAAATCCTCCTGAGCTGGGTTTCGGGAGCAGCCTGGAAAGAAAATGAGATCACGACACACACAGAAAGAACCAATAAGGAAGCATGGGCCATGCCGAAGGTTAAAGCCAAGGTTAAAGCATGACTTAGTAACATTCTTCTCCAGAAGAATTCTTCTCCACTAACATTCTTCTCCAGTTGGAGCTCTTCTCCAGCTCCATCAAGGTCAAGGGGATACAGACACAAACTGGAGATTAAACAGCACTATTAGGATGAACTTACCAGAAGCCAGACTGCCAGTCCTGGGAAGGAATGACAGCGGAATCTTCCAGGAAGGCCTCTGAGAACAAGGGAGGCCACTCTGGCTAAGTGATTTAAGGTGGGCTCCTGCTAATGACGGTTGGGTAGATGAGATCCTCCTGAGTTTCCTTTGGCCCTCAGAATTAATTGGCTCAATTTCTGGTTAGCAAAGGGTTAAAGAATCCTCTGGTCCCAGTAGCCCACGCCCAGCTCTCTAGGACCTACCTTTAAATTCCATGTTGGCAGCATCATCCAGAAGTTCCTCCTTCATGGTGTTCAGCGTCTCGACAATCATGTCCTTCATTTCCTCCTGCTTTCGATTGGCAATATTCATCAATGATTCATACAGCTCATTTTCCTTTTTTCGAGTATACTCCAGACGTTTGGGAGTAATCTGCAGGTCCCGCTGCATGTCAAAAGCCTGGTTAATAAAGATGTCAAGGGAGCGGCAGTGCACCAGATTCAGGGCCTTGGCCGCGTCCACCAGGCGAGTCTGTAGCACCTGGTGAGAAAACGTGCTCAAGTGTCTCAGTTTCTCACTTTGTTCCACCAACATGCTCTGGGCTTTAGTGTCTTGGCCAGGAGCCCCACAGTTACAGTGACTGCTGCTCAGATAGCCCAGGCCAATCAGCTGGTGATGGAGCGGTGACCTTTCGTTCTCCAGTCTTCTGGTAGAGGAGGCAATGATCTCCGAGCCCAGCTTCGGCACTTTGAAAAAGAATACGGGAAAGGAGAAATACTTTCGGATTTCCTGAAGCTCTCGCTCATCCCTCTCAGAGAGTTCATCTTTGTGGAGTGCATAGGTTATCACAGGCAAGAAATCGTTCACCAAGTCACCCAGAACATCCACTGCAGGCCGGAGGCCTTGGCACGGTGCTACCACAATGTCCACTTCCTAGAAGGGGAAGGGGGGGGGGTCATATCAGCACTTCAGGGTCAGAACCAATCCTTGCCTCCCCTGAGTCCCACACTGAGACCAAAGTCCAGATCTGTGATGGGCCAATGGGACTTCGGTACGCCCCCATCATTTGTCCAACTCCTTCCTGGGTTACCGACACTCCCTGGTGCAGCCTGTGCAGACAGGCACTTGTCTAGAGAGAGAAAGCAGTCAGTAGAAAGGATGGCCGTCTCTTTAGCCACTTCAGAAGAAAGAATTTAGTTCCTGGCTTCCCTCGTTGTTTGGAAACACCCATAGATACCCTCCGATGAAGGAGTAACACAAATAATGGAAGGAGAAAGAAATGCTGTGGAAATTATCAGCTCAGGAGTGAGGCTGTCTGGAACTTTCCTCCCACTCCAGTCCTCGCTCATTGCACTTGCCCAACCTTTCAGAGCTAGCTAACTCCCAGACCAACTCCCAAGCAGGCTTCCAATCTGCCTGTGTACTCATGTCATGCCCTAGAGAGTCCTTCCTCGAACATAATCCCAAGCACTCTCTACTTCTCCTTTCCTTAATGTTCAACACATTTATACTTTATTTTTTGAAAACCCATTTTCTCGGGGCGCCTGGGTGGCGCAGTCGGTTAAGCGTCCGACTTCAGCCAGGTCACGATCTCGCGGTCCGTGAGTTCGAGCCCCGCGTCGGGCTCTGGGCTGATGGCTCGGAGCCTGGAGCCTGTTTCCGATTCTGTGTCTCCCTCTCTCTCTGCCCCTCCCCCGTTCATGCTCTGTCTCTCTCTGTCCCAAAAATAAATGAACGTTGAAAAAAAAAAAATTAAAAAAAAAAAAAAA